TCAAAATGCGAAAATTATCCCCTGGCCTCATGGACCATACACTCTAGAAAGGTTGTAAAAACCAACCTTGTATATTTTAGAATTGGTGTAGAGCAAAGTCAGGTTCCCTCAAAATTAGAAAATTCTAACTAGTTGCTATAATATATAATGGAAAACGTACAAAGTAAACCATTCCTAAGGAATCTTGGATTGGTCATCTACTGAAACCATCCACCCATTGCTTAAATTCTAGAATCAACACTCCAAAAGGCTGAATCTCAGTATTTAAAAAGTGATGTTGCTGCTTCTGGAATCTTCACAGAGAAACAAAAGTGATGTGGAAGCCACACAGTGGAATACTACTGAGCAATGAAAAGGGCTGTGGACACAGGCACACGTGATGGTGCTCATGGGCATCAGCAATAGTGAAAAACAGCCTATCTCAAATGTTGACAAACCTCACTCCCACTGATAACATCATTTTTCAAATGACAAAACCATAGAGACAGAGAACAGACTAGTGACTTCAGGGGACAGGGCTGGAAGGGAGGGGATACGACTACAAAGGGGTGGCACCAGAGGATTCCTCTGTGGTGACGACGGTCTATGCGCTGATTAGCATGGCGGCTGCATGAATCTACATGTGGGGTTGAGTTCCATAGAGTGCACACAGAACTGCTGAAAACCGAGGAAGCCTGTGGTCTGGATTACTGTGTCGTTCCAATGTCACTTTCCCAGTCTTATTATAGTTATGTAAGATGTCACCACCAGGAAAAGTGGAGGGAAGGGTTCATGGGACTAATATTTTTGCTACTTCCTGTGAGTCTCAAAACAAAAAGTTTACATAATAGGCTGGGTGTGGTGGCTCACACCTGTAATCCCAGCACTTTGGGAGGCTGATGTGGGTAAATCATAAAGTCAAGAAATCAAGACAATCCTGGCCAACATGGTGAAACTCAGTCTCTACTAAAAATATAAAAATCAGCTGAGCATAGTGGTGGCATACACCTGTGGTCCCAGCTACTCAAGAGGCTGAGGCAGAAGAATCACTTGAACCCAGGAGGCAGAGGCTGCAGTGAGCCGAAATTGCGCCACTGCACTCCAGCCTGGCAACAGAGCAAGACTTAGTCTCAAAAAAAAAAAAAAAAAAAAAAAAAAATTTACATAACAACAGAGAAATTTACCTTCTTTTTATGCTTTTGAAGGGAATATGGAGAAGAAAATGAGCATCACTACCACAAAGCCTTTTGAAACTCTCTCTGCTCCTATGCACCTGCAGTGCTCCACCGACAAGTCAGAGGAGGCGCTACCGACCGTGGGACGCACGGTGCCCGCTGCCTTTCAAGCTCCCACTTTGCTATCACGGGCCCCTGTGGGATAGCTAGCACGGCGTGGCCATGAGGGATGCCCACGTGAGGGACGGTATCAGTCTGGGGTCTGACTGTGAAGTTCAGCGTCAGGGACCAGAGACAAGAGACAACTGGGAAGCACTGACAATTCACCTTCTGGCCCGCCCCTCCCATGTGTTAGGTTAGTTGATCTGTAACCCTAATACTCCCCATGCTCCTGTCAAGCAAGGCGGAGACAACCTTTCAGTGTTTCTCCCCTGGCTGCAGGGGGCAAGGGCGCCCCTTCTCCCTCCTCATTTTGCTTCTGGTTGATGTGTCTTCAGTCCTCACTCCTCCTCGGACACCCTCTCCTGAAGCCATCCAGCCTCTGCCTTTCCTCGGGTGTCTGGGCTAAATCAGCTTCCCTTATTCAGAATTAATCAAATGGAAAGGAAAGGTAGAATTTCACTTTCTTTAGTGGAGCCCTCCGGAGGCTGCTGCCAAACTGAGATGAGGTGACCAGGCTTCCTCCAAGAGCGACAGCCCCCAGCTTTGTCGGCAATATCTGTGTTCATGTGGCCTGCAGTGTGCTGCCATGAACAGCTCCTCACCGGAATCATTAGAAATGTTTGCCAGGCTTGAACATTTCCACAGAGATGATTAATCTGAGTGGAGCCAAGAAGCCCCTGGGTAGGACTCAGCACTCACCAAAACCCTGGAGCCTTGGTGTAATCTAACTCCATCCCCACCCAGCGGTCAGCCTGTCCTGGGGCCAGTGAGGAATCTGAAAGCAGGGCTCTCACCACTGTAGAGAAGGCCCGAGAGAACAATTTTCACCCTCAGGGGAGAATTACTTGATTCCCATGAAAGCATTTTCCAGGGAGTAGAGGTGAGTTTAGGTGCTATCTGTGCAACAGAGGCGCCATCTCCCAGGTCTAGAAACGAAAAAAAGATAAAGACCCTGCCCACCAACAGTACCCAGTCCAAAGGGGAGAGACATCCCGGCAAGCTCAGCACTTCAGAGAGAGATTAGCTGTCCCTGCATCAGAGTGCCACGAAGGCTGTCCCCTCTATCACTGGCTGGAGCCTGTATCACAATCACTGGTGTTTGTACTGGAGGCCGCAGGCAACACGACAGATTGTGAGGAAAGCCTGCAGATGGCTCCGTTAATAAAGCTGCCGTTCACCAGCCAAAGTTGAAGTGGTTTCTATGGGAAACTCTCATATTAAAATGGAAGTTTTTTTTTAATCAAATTACAGTCGTTAATTACATTTTTTTAAATTAAACATTATCAAGTTTAAACACAAGGATGTGCCATGGAGGGCACTCAGGAAACCGCATACACGGCTGCTGGGACCGCCAGTTGCTGAGGGGTTTCTCAGGCACAGGATCCCCCCAGGGGCTCTTGGACCTCCATGTCCTGATTCAGCACTAGGGTCCGTTCCAAGTCACTCACACGAAGCATAAGGGACACCCACTACTGGTGAACCCGAGAGGACTGTGGGGCAGCCTCCATGGCTGCAGGCATCACTCCTTGCTCTACAGAGCCCACGCAGGGGCTTGAGCTCCAGGCGTGTGAGTGACACTGGCTGTCATCCTCCTCCTTGAAAACCCCTCCTCTCCTGTCACCTCTCCTCCAGGTTTCTTTCTGAAACATTCTCTCCGGGGCCTCAAAGCCTCGGGGGATGAATAACTCCTCCTTTCTCAGGCCCTGTCCCAAGGCACAAGGCCACTTGTACCAGCAGTGTGCATCAGCAAGACAGCAGACACCGGAAGACGTGTACCCACTCAAGATGGAGAGAGAGGCCATCCAGGTACCATGCAGCAGTTACATCAGGACACTTCCTGATTACAGGAGGCTATCAGATCACTGCCTGTCCTCACTTGGGGCTGATGCCATTTTAGGCCTCAGCCCACCTCACCCAGGCGATCACTAAAACAGCATGTCGCTCCACATGGCCTTGTGTCGTTGGCGCACTCTCAGGGTTCAAACTGATAATAGAGCCTTGCATCTGGTGCCGAAACCCAGGAGGGGCTCCACTCTGAGTCCCCATAGACCTGCCCCTCCACCCCGGAAAGCAGGCCACAGCCAGACAAAGGAAGCTCCTCAGCCTCAGTCGCCTCTCTGTGCATGCACATCAGTCACTGATCTCGCCTACGGCTTCTCTTGGTTTCTCTGGTCCAAAAATCCAACACTGGTCCAAGAAGGCTCCAGCGAGTGCCAATCACTTACTGATCATCTGGTCTTAGGGGGACACCTCTAAGCCATTTGATCCTGTTCCAGGAACAAAAAAGGCAGTGGTGATGACGGCTCCTTTTATTGTCTCCCTGCCGCCATCCAGGGCAGTGTCCTTTCCCTGTTCTCCTGAGCCTACTCTCTGTTACGGGAAATTCCCAGTCTACCATTCCAAAAGACAGCCCTCTAGCCTGCTCATAAGAAACCTGCAAATCTCAGGCCTCAGGCAAGATATCCACCCTAAGCGCCTTCTCTTTTTTTTGCAATTCCGTCTGGCCACAGGACGAACTGGATAATGGGTCCAAATGGCCTGCAAATGGAACATTAAACTTTATAATTTTAACTGACTTAAGCAATAATTGCTGGTGACTGGAAAATGGGGAGAAATTCCTTATGTCCAGGACTTTTTGGCACTCAGATCACAACCTGACCACTGCAACTCTTGCTCGCCTGTTCAAATCCTCCTCCTCCATTCTCGCCTCCCAGATCACCTTTCTCCTCCCGATCCTACCTCTTTTTCCTCATTGGATCCAACAGACTGCTGTCTACCCTCCCAGTCCCTACCTCTCCCTCTCAACTGCCTTTTCTAACCCCCAAGCCTACTCTTTGTCTTCTCTGCCACCACCTTCCCAGCCGCCATCTTCCCAGCCAGCACCAGCTCCAAAAGTATCCACTTCTTTTCCTACATCACCCTCTTCTCAGGACAATTCCAGCACTGCCTGCGCCCATTCTCCTCCCCCACTGCCCTCTCTTAAGGCCTGGAAATCCATCCTGCCACCTTATGCCGCTATTTATCCTCTACTGCCTATTAACTCAACCCCCCCTCCCCCTTCGAACTCTCAGCAGGAACCACTTCCAGGTTCTTCTCTCCCACCCATACTCACTCAGGTGCCATCTTTGGCCTGTGCCCCACCCCTAATTCAGCACCTGTGCTAGAGTGCCCCCTTTGGGAAGTAGCAGGAACTGAAGGTGTTGTAAGAGTTCATGTTCCCTTCTCCCTCTCTGATCTCTTTCAAATTAACAAAACACTCGGTTCATTTCCAGAAGACCCTACCTCCTAAGTGTTTCAATACTTTACCCAGTCTTATGAACTAACCTGGCACGACCTCTACGTTACCCTCTCTTCCACCCTCACCCCAGAAGACCGGAACTGTCGTATCTGGACCCTATTTCAGGCACATGCTGATACAATTCACCACCAGGCTCCTGCACAGCTTACTGACACAGAGGCAGTCCCTAAGCAGGGCCCCAACTGGGATTATCAAGAGAGAGTCCCTGGACACCACCATCAGGACCACATGATTGTGTGTCTCCTCACAGGACTCAAAAAAGGTGGCCATAAAGCAGTCAAATATGAAAAACTCAGAAATCACCCGAGGTCCCAACGAAAACCCAGCCCTTTTTCTCTCTCGTTTAACTGAAGCCATGAGAAACTCTACGAACCTAGACCCAGCCAGTCCAGAAGGAACCACTATCTTAAACCTTCAGTTCATCTCCCAATCCACCCCCGATATCCAGCACAAGCTTCAGAAGCTTGATGACAGCCTTCAAAGCCCACAACGAGACCTTCTTAATTTATCCTTCAAAGTTTTTAACAATCGTGATGAGGAAAGTAAAAGGCAAAAACAGGCAGAGTTTCAAATGCTAGCCACCGCCATCAGGACCCTGCAGGCCCACAGGGCCACAGCTCCACACGGAGGGCTCCTAGTAATCCACCTCCACCCGGTGCCTGTTTCAAGTGTGGCAATGAAGGCCCCTGGGCCAGACAATGCCCAAACCCAGGTAAGCCTACCAGGCCATGCCCCCTCTGCAGAGGACCACACTGGAAGTCGGACTGTGAGTGGCCCCTGCAAGGACCGCCCCCATCCCTTCCTGAACCAGCCAAAAGCCCCTGCTCGGATCTCATCAGCCTCGCCGCTGAAGACTGACAGTGCCCTCTAACGGACACCCCAGCAACTACCATCTCTTCATCCAAGCCAAGGGTAACCATGATGGTGGCAGGTAGGCCAGGATGTTTTTTAACTGACACTGGGGCAACCTGCTCTGCTTTACCTAATTTTTTAGGACCCACCCAGTCCACCCAAGTCTGTTTTGGGAATTGATGGACAAGTCTCCAAACCCCAAGCCACCCGTGCACTCTTCTGCTCCCTGCACACCTTTTCCTTCACTCACTCTTTCTTAGTCCTGCCCTCATGCCCAACTCAGTTCCTAGGCAGAGACATCCTTTCAAAACTCCACACCACTCTCCACTTCCACACTCCCCACAGTAACCAACACGTCCACCCAGGCCCCTCTGGTGCTTCTAACTTTCTTCTACTCCTCCAACCTCCCACCCTAAAACATGCAACCTTCCCTTATCCCCCGTCTGTAGCTAACCCCGCTGTTTGGGATACTTTCACACCCTCAGTCACAAAACACCACACCCCCGTCTGCATTACCTTTAAAAACTCCACCCAGTTCCTATCACAGAAGCAGCATCCAACCCCCAAGCAGCTCTTGTAGACCTAAAACCTCTTGTATCATTTCTCACCTCCTCACCAGGAACCTACTCCACCCAACAAACTCCTCTTTTTAACACACAAATTCTACCTGTCAAAAAGTCAGATGGAACTTATCAGTCCGGGACCTCAGGCTCATTAACCAAGCTGTACTCCCAGTATGTCCAGTAGTTCCTAATCCATACACTCCACTTTCCACAGTTCCCTCTATTACCACCCATTTTTCTGTCCTTGATGTAAAGGATGCTTTTTTCCCAATTACTTTGAACCCTGATTCTCAAAACCTCTTGACCTTCACATGGGAAGACCCCAACACACACCTTTCATACCAGCTCACCTGGTGTTTACTACCTCAAGATTTCAGAGACAGCCCCCACCTTTTTGGACAGGGCCTTGCTCGTGACCGCTGTACCGTATCCCTAAAACCGTCCACTCTCCTTCAATATATTATCTACTCCTGTGTAGCCCTTCTCAAAAAGACTGCAATGCCCATACTATCACTCTTTTAAACTTCCTGGCAGAATGGGGGTATTGGGTCTCCCCTAAAAAGGAACAAATAAATATACACCTCTTCAGTCACCTACCTAGGCCTGGCCCTTACTCCACACACCCAGGGGCTCACAGCTGACCACATATCCCTGCTCCAGTCCCTCCCGCCTCTGCAAACTAAGGAAGAAATTCTCTTTTCTAGGACTAGTGAGATACTTTAGGCTCTGGACTGCCTCCTTCACCCTACTTGCCAAACCGTTATACAAAGCTGCTAAAGGCCCTCTCCATGAGCCTTTAAACCCTATACAGCCTATTACCTAACCCTTCCGTCTACTCCAAAAGGCTCTCACCTCAGCCCCTGTCCTCATTCTCCCAGACCTCACCAAACCTCTCCTTCTCTACTGACGAAGGTGAAGTTGCACTAGGTGTTCTAACCCAGTCTAAGGGACCCACCCTCCAGGTTGTTGCCTCTCTAAACAACTTGAAGCCACAGTACTCAGATGACCTGACTGCCTCCAACCATTGGTGACAGCTGCTGTCCTCACTCTTGAAAGCCTAAAACTATCTCTTCATGCCAACCGAACAGTTTATTCAACCCATAACATCAAAGATATGCTAGCTCTCCGCAGTGTACTAAGTCTCATCTCTGCCCCATGGCTCCTCCAACTGTACGCTTTATTCAGAGACTCCTCAATGCTAACCAGCTCCCATCTAAATCTGGCCACACTCTTACCTGAAGCTACTTACCTCCCAAGACGCTGCACACTTCTGTGCAGACACCATTTAAACCTTTCTTACACCCTTTCGAAATCTTAACAGACCAACCCCGTCCAGATGCCTCCTTTACTTGGTTTGTACATGGCAGTTCCTACCTACATCAAGGACGCCGGCATGCTGGCTATGCTACAGTGTCACCCCCCGACACTACTGAAGCCAATCTGCTCCCCTAGGCACCACCTCCCAAAAATATGAGCTCATCACTCTCACTCTAGCAGCCGGACAACAAGTTAACATATATTCAGACTCTCATTATGCATTCCACATCGTGCACTCACACTCGTCCATCTGGAAAGAACAGGCTTTCCTCACTGCAAAAAACACTCGTGTCATAAATGGCTCTCTCATCAGCAAACTCCCTCAAGCTGCCAGACTCCTGCAGAAAGTTGCCATCATTCATTGTGGGAGCCACCAAACCCCAGACAATCCCACAATGGCCAGAAATGCTCCAGCAGATCAGGTTGCCAAACAAGTAGCCTTACAACCTGTGCATGGCCAGCTTCTGTCCCTGTCCTCGTTCTCGCCTGTTTACTCCTTAGAAAAGGAGGACTTCCAAGCCCAAAACCTTCAAAAGCAGGGACCATGGTAGGTCAAGGAAGGGTGCTTCATTCTTCCCCACTCTCAAACAATCCCTATCCTCCAAAGCCTCCACAGCTCCTTCCATATGGGTTACAAACCTCTCTTGCAACTTCTCTGCCCTATTCTCACTTGTCCTCACCTTTCCAGGTGTGTTTGAGAGATTACCCAGTCCTGCTCTATCCGTCACTCCGTGTAACCCCGGGGCTCCCTCCAGCCACCGCCTCTTCCTACCCACCAAGCCCAAGGCCAGGTACCCAGGCAGGACTGGCGAACAGACTTCACTCACATGCCACCCGATAAATGGATCCTCTATCTTCTAGTCTTTGACTGCACTTTCTCCAGGTGGGTAGAAGCATCCCAACAACTTCAGAAGGTGCAAATATTATCAAGCAAACTCTCAACATGCATATAATTCCCCATTTCGAACTCCCAGCATCCATTCTAGTCCAATAATGGGCCCGCCTTTATCAGCCAAATTACCCAAGCTGTCTCTACATCTTTAGGAATAAAATGAGTTCTCCACACACCCTATAGGCCTCAATCTTCAGACAAAATTGAAAAAGTCAACTCTGTCCTTAAAGCCCAACTCACCAAGCTGGCTCTAGAAAACTGCCAGTCATGAACAAGAAATCTCCCCTTCACCCTCATGAGACTCCGCACCACACCAAAGCACCCTCTTTTTATAGTCCCTTGGAAATCATGTACAGCCAAACTTTTGTCTTAGGGCCTCCACCCTTACCAGGCTCTGAGCCACTCAGGAATTACCTCCCCTCCCTAATCCAGACAAGGTCTTTCATCCGTGAAGCAACAAATGAGGCCATGCCTCTCCCCGTCGACACCTCCTTGTCCTCTCACCATAACTGTCTTGCAGGCACAGACGTGTTTATCTGCCAACCCGACCCACATAAAAAGCTATAACCGAAGTGCACAGGCCCCTACACTGTGATACTCAGCACACCAACTGCAGTGAGAGTCCAAAGACTCCCCCACTGGATCCACTGCTCCAGGGTCAAGCTCACCCCAAAGGCTACTTCTTCCTCTAGAACATCAACAGCTAAGTGTTCATCCAGGCCAATTTCTCCTACCAAGCTTAAATTAACCAAAAACGTTTTTGTTTTTGTTTTTGACAGAGTCTCGCTATGTCACTGGGCTGGAGTGCAGTAATGCGATCTCAGCTCACAGCAACACCTCTACCTCCCGGGCTCATGATTCTCCTGCCTCAGTCTCCCAAGTATCTGGGACTACAGGCAAGCACCACCACACCCAGCTAATTTTTGTATTTTTTAGTAGAGATGGGGTTTCACCATGTTGGCCAAGATGGTCTTAATCTCCAACCTCGTGATCTGCCTGCCTCGGCCTCCCCAAGTGCTGGGATTACAAGCATGAGTCACCGCACCTGGCCTAACCAAAAATTTTCTGAAGGACCAAAACCCCATAGAAAGACCTAAACACAAGGAAGACTAATCACCTGCTTCCAGAAATGGCCTGCTATCTACGCAACCACTTGCTGTGCCTCACTTCCAACCAAAATTCTTAATACAGGAACATCCCTCACCACAATCCTAATACTGTCAGTAGCTGCCCTGCTGTCCACAGCAGCCCCTCTGAGCTGCCGTATTAATCGGTCTTTCCATTATGGAGGAAAAATGCAACAATCCTTTACTTACCATCTTCATATAGAAAAATCCTGTTATGGAACCTTAGTCGAGGAATGTCTTGAATCAGGGAAAAGTTGTTATAAAGTAAAAAATCTAGGAGTATCTGGCAGTCCTAATGGGGCTGTATGTCCCAAAGGTAAGCACTGGCTTTGCTTCACCAAAATTGGACAATAAGTAAACACTCAAGTGCTTGAAGACATAAACAGAGAACAGAATATTGCCAAAGCAAAAGCCAAAACCAACAACTACCCCCAAAAATCACCTGTAGTATTTCCATTCCTTTAGACAAAACTACAAGCAAACGTATCCCTTCCCAAGCCATGAAAAAAAACTGTTTGTAGATCTAGAAGAACACATTGTGCTTACCATGAACATTTCCAATTGCTGGGTATGGGAGGGAGCTCGTATAGGTGAACAGTGGCCATGGTATGGGATACACATTCCCCCTTACTTACTAGCATCCCAAAACTCCAGCCTTACTTTCACCCCTCAGGAATGACCGCAGTCCTGGACGCTTGCAAACCCAGTAAGGGGGAGGGTATGCATATCCTGCAAGTGGACTAATACAACCCATTGTGCCGTAGGTGAAAGCCCCTGTCACCAAACCCTAACAATCAAGGCCTCCACCGCAGAATGGCCAAAGTTACCCCACGGAGCCTGGTCCCCTTCTAACTTAAGCTACCTCAATTGTGTCTCATCAAGAGGCCTGGTACTATACAAACACCACAACCCTTATGCCGCGTACCCATGCCTAAGTGCACTATGGGACAACCCTATGGACACCAGCCTACAATGGATTGCCCCGATGGATTCTTTTGGGTATGTGGAACCCAGGCTTGCTCATGGCTACCTCATCACGGGCAAGGTACCTGCTTCCTAGGCAAAATTAAACCTGGATTTTTTTTTACTTCCAAAGCAGGCAGGCAACACCCTCAGAGTCCCTGTGTATGATAACCTAAACAGAGAAAAATGATCCTTAAAAATAGGAGGAAGCCAAAGATGTCAAGAAGAGGAGTGGCTTCTGCAACCGATCACTGAATATTCTGGTCCTGCCACTTGCGCTGAGGCTGGCTCATGGTAATAGAATAATTAGACTACAGGCTGTTCTAGAGATAATCACTAACCAAACGGCCTCAGCCCTGGAAATGCTCTCACAACAACAAAGCCAAATGCGCGTGGCAGTTTATCAAACAGGCTAGTGCTAGACTACTTATTAGCAGAAGCAGGTGGGGTCTGCGGTTAAGTTTAATGTCTTCAATTGTTGTCTTAACCTAGACAGACAACAGAAAAGCAGTTCTAGAAATCACTTCAACCATCAGAAAAGTAGCCCATGTACCAGTCCAAACCTGGAAGGGATGGAACCCGACAAACCTAGGAGGGTGGTTCCCTAATTTAGGAGATTTAAAACGTGGGCAGAGACAGTAATCTTCAGCACAGGGCTCCTCCTGCTTCTCCCCTGTTATCCCACTAGTAATAAAAGCCATTAAAACTCTTGTTGAAACTACAGTTAATCACCAGACAATCCAGACAATGCTCCTGCTACAACCACATGATGGGTACCAACCCATCTTTCAAGAATATCCTAAAAATTGTTTTTCTTTTTCTTTTTTCAAAGGTGCACACGCCACCCCCTATGTCATGCCTGAAGTAGTTATTGAGAAAGTCGTACCTTTTCCCTTTTTCTATAACCAAATAGACGGGAATAAAAGATTCTCCCCGGGGCCTCAAAGCTTAGGGGGATGAATAACTCCACCCTTCTCAGGCCGGGTCCCAAGATGCAAGGCCACTTGCGCCACCAGCATGAGTCGGCAAGATAGCAGAAGCCAGAAGAGCTGGCCGGAACACACGTACCCCCTGAAGATAGAGAGGCAGTCTGGGTACCATGTAGCAGTTACATCAGACTGGGGACACTTCTTGTTTATAGGAAACTAAAACCCCTACCCATCCTCACTTGGGACTACTTTAGGCCTCAGCCCATCTGCACCCATGCGCTCATTAAAAACAGCGTGTTGCCCTACACCACCTCATGTTGTTTGCTGACGCACTCTCAGGGTTAGAACCGATAATAGAGCCTTGCACTTTCTTCCCTCCTTCGCTTCCTCCCTCCCCTTATCCCTCCCTCTTTCCTTGCTTTCCTCCTTTCTTATTTTTTAACACTTTTTAAATTTATTCTTACAATCAAGTACACAAATCTCAGTGCATTGTACACATGTATACACCCACACGGCCAGCGCCGGAGGAAGACCCAAAACTGCCAGCATTCGGAAGTCAGCCTGTGACCCGCTCCTGTCACAGACTCCCACAGGGCGGCCTCTATTCTGACCTTCTAACACCACCAATTACTTTGGTTTGGTTTGGCTTTTACATGAATGGAGCCCAAAGTGTGTTTTCTGTCGTGTCCCCATTCCTCTGTTCATACACTACCACTCTCCTCCTCTTTGCTCACCTTAAGTCTTGGTTATTTCCCATTCTATTTCCTCATCTCACATAACCCTCTGCACAATGTCGCAGACATCCCTGGTTTCCGCAGACACCTGTATATTCGGTCTCGAGTTTTGACTCCAGTCCAGATCCCTCGCCTTCTCCCCAGACGCAATGCCTATGGGGATTCCTCACCTAGAGGACCCATAGGCAATCCACATTCTCCAAAGAAATGCCCTGCCTTGTTGTAAGCCCAGGCTCTGTACTCCACTCCCCGCTCACCCAGAAGCCGAGTTGCGCTGTCCTGGGGGCACCCCTGAGGCCTCCTCCCCTCTCCTGGGATTGGCAGTTGTCATACTGGGTTCACTCTGCCCTCCTCATGCCCCTGGGATCCATTCCTTCCTCTCGTGCCCTCAGCTATCACTCCCAGGCTCCCATCAGCTCTCGTAACACTTATCAATTGTTGTGAGTCTTTTTCCTCTCCATTCTGTCCTCCACATTGCCACTGTGGGTTCAAAAGAACCAAACAAAACAAAAAAATCCCTACTGGATGGGGTGGTTATCCCCGATACACACACACCCTGCTCGCCAGCCAGAGTCCAGCTCTCAGGCCCAGCTCCAGGAAGGAGCTCTGTGAGGCCTGAGCCTCTTGCTCTCACCCTGGATCCCGCCTTTCCTCTCCTCTCCCCTGTCCCCCAGGCACATCCAAAATGCCCTCACACCTCGGTGTGTGCCTTCCCCATGTCCTCTGGTGGAAACCACCTATTCATGCGAGTTAAACAGCTTGTAGGAGCTTCCCTGCCACTCCTCCTTCTGCCTTCCTGGGGCCTGGCCCTGTCATTGGGCCACTCTGCTGCACTCTGGCAGTGCTCATCAGTCTGGGAACGCAGGAGGCTGGGAGCAGGGTCATCTTTCTCAATGTCTCTCCTGCGCAGCACACTGCAGAAGAAATGATTTGTGCTTTAAGGGCTACTGACGGCAAATGTGAGGCAAGTGGTCGGCACCTCTGACCTCTGTTCAGACCTGGAGCCAAAGAAAGCGATCTCACCTCTGGCGTCCTGGGTTTGAGGGGCCTGAAGTGCCCCATCCTGCGGAATCCCGCACTGGCTTAGAGATTCTGTCTTGGTTATAACATGTCACATCCATAATCAATGGAGAAAATAAACAGAAAAAATATGCTGGATGACAAGTTATGGGTGAGTCCTGCAGGGGGACACAGTGGTTTACCTCTGTCCTCCCTCAAGCCCTCCTGCTGTGGCCACTAGAGAGGAACGTGGAATGCTGGCTCTTAGGAGACTGAGGCTGCAGATAGGCCCTGATGAGGACTCGGATCTACCCTTTGGCAGGAGCAAGGCCACCCACATCCAAGGCATAAAGGCTCAGAATAGGCTAGGTCGTGGTGTCCCAGAAGGCACCACACTTCGCCTGCACAAGTCCCACCTGGGCAGATCATGCCTCACTCAGCACCGCAAAGCCTGCCTGAGCTTGCCTGGCCTGGGCAGGCCACCTCAATCACTCCTTACCTTGCTCTCCCACAGCCATGGGATTGCTTTTTGCAAGTCACGTGCTTCAATCTAGCCAGCAGTGCTCCCCAGCTTCCTGCTGCAGTGGGTACCTACTCCCTTCGGCTCCAGGAACAGGTCCTGACTCAAGAGTGATAAGTGAGAGGACGCAAAGTTATAAAACAGCTTTCCAAATAACCATTTGCTCAAGAGGACTTAGTTCCAGAGGAGGAAAGGGAACAGCGACCAAGTATAAACAAAGGCTCCTCTGTGTAACTCAACTTTAATTAGAATGACAACTAATTGAAAGTAATTTATTGCTGGTTCATGAAAGGTTAATGGAATTCATGTTTTGGAGATGCTGAATGCAACACAGATTTGGCCAGAAACACAAATCTAACCTTTATGCACTTTAATTATTCAGTCAGAATCATTTCCTGGGAATAAGTCTAGTCTCTAGACAGCTCTAATCAAACACCACTGAACTTTGAAGTTGACATCAACTCATTCAGCTGCAACTCAATTTTCAAATTAATCTGCTGTATAACGTGGAGGGTTTGTGGCCTAAGCAGGGGGCAGGCGGGAGGGGAAGATGGACTTACAGCCTACCAGGTATGAACTGATTCTGGAACGTATGACCTTCCCCAGGCGAGGCACTTCTGGAACTGGTGCCAGGCCTTCTTAAGGAGAGGGACCCAGTCTGAGCTGAGCAACCACACTGCCTCCATGCTTGAGCTCAGGGCTTCACTCTCACAACTGAAGCGTAAGCCTGGTATAGCTGGAACCCTAAAAGGGGCTGGGGACCAGCAGAGCCTGCCTCTTCCACCCTAGCCTAGCTGCCCTTTCCCTGTTCTCTCCCTCTCCCTAGGAGAGCTGAGACGAGGGACTTGAGTTCTCTACCTGGCAAGATGCCCTCAGAAACCATCCCAATTTCTGTACCCATTACTTCCTTGGCCCTTCACGCAGGCACCAGGTACACCCACACAGTCTCAGCCTCTCCTCCTCTGCCTTGGAAAACCCAGGTCCCTAATTCTGTCTGCTTTACTTTACAGCCCTTCCAAGGCCCTACAGTAGGCCATGGGCGTCTGTTTCTTCCTACAACCTTCTCTGCTGACTGGGAGGCAACACCATTTCCCACAGCCTGTGTTAGCGTGGAATGTGGTACTTGGAGTCAGCAAAGATTCCAATCTGGCTAGTACACGTTAGGCAGTGTGGAGACCTGTGCTTTGGCCCTGAGGTACAGCCATGTGACCATGACAAATCTATGTTATGGTCAAGGTCAGAACAAGAGAAGGCAGGATGTCCCAGGAGGGCTGTGTCAGAACTCAAGGAAAAAAATATGACCTAAAGAATGTTCTTTCTCGCCATTTGTCAGGCCCCGCCCAATTCATGTTTTGCAGCAGCCTCAGGACCCTGAGCAAGCAGCACCTGGGCCCCACCTGCCCATCCCAAAACATCCTGCAGCAGTGCCACACCTGGGCACCGTGCAGCCACACAGAGGTCAGGAGGCCTGATTCCATCTTATGCCAGTGACAGCAGCTGGTGACAGAGGGGACTGCAAGTGATCATCCCACTCCCCTTCTACCTGAGGAGGAGCTGAGCCACCCCCACTGCTCTTGTTCACATCATGAGAGTCAGGGTCAGCTGCTGCTGCCCTCCACACTGCAGGGCCTGACTTGCTACCACCAAGGCGTGATATGGGTTCCCAGAACAGCAGCTATAGCCAGGCTTCCCTCCACCCCCACCCCCACCCAGGGCGGCCTGCTGTAAAGCCACCAAACCCCACCAGTCACATGGAGCTCCCAGATCAGAACAGGTGAAGGATAGCTGTAGAAATCACAAGAAAGACATGGGGTTGAACAGACCTCAACGTCAGACAAGCCAGGGGAGCCTGCCCAGGGCCACGCACACAAAGGGAAGTAAAAAGCAGATAAATAAACAAAAGCTACCAGTGTTATCAAAGCCACGCCAATCTTCCTTCACCTTACCTGACAGCTTCACAGCAAAGTCACATTGGACGAAGGGGGCAGGAAGGAGAGGGAAGCAAGTCAGACCCTGAAAGGGAATCTGGCTGACAAAGAGCAAAGTGAGGGGTAAGTGGCACTGCTTTACAAGGACAAGTGTAAAGCAGCCATTTTCAACTGTTCTTACTCTTGTGTACCCTAAAACAAAAATTTACATCTATGCATATCTAAGCTTAATATCTAGAATTTTTCATTTTAAATTCAAATAGTTGTAAAAAGTAGTTTCTGTTGTGTTATAAATATTGGCTAAGTTATTAAATCACTTTTTTTTTTTGAGATGAGTCTCGCTATGTTGCCCAGGTTGGAGTATAGTGGCGCAATCTCAGCTTACTGCAACCACTGTCTCTCAGGTTCAAGCAGTTCTCTTGCCTCACCCTCCTGAGTAGTTGGGACTACAGGCGCCTGCCGCCATGCCCGGATAATTTTTTATATTTTTAGTAGAGACAAGGTTTCACCATGTTAGCCAGGATGGTCTTGATCTCCTGACCTCGTGATCCGCCCCGCTTGGCCTCCCAAAGTACTGGGATTACAGGCATGAGCCACCTCGCCCGGCCAAATCACTTATAAATGTATCCAATGGAATGTAAATTCCACTGCAGTTGGACACCCACCTTCATCTGGTTAAAAATACACATTTGTAGAACAGTCAGAAACTTCTGCTTATATGTCTATTTCCATTCTACTCCCATACATAGAACTTTATACCCCAAAATTTATCCTAATGTAATACAACTTTAGGAATGAAAGTCTCCTATTGCCCATACATAATTCTCTGTAACACTCTAAAATTGAAATTTGGTTAAATTTCCTGTGACCATAAACTCTAAGTGTTAGAAATATTTTTATTCTGAATTATTATAATTACTATTAGTACATAATTGACCAAAACAAAGTATAAGAAAATCTGTCTTAGAATGGTTCAGGTTTTCATAGATAAATCTTGCTTACTGTTAAAATAAGATCATTTCAGCACCAATTCCATTCCCATTTTTATTTTTACAGATAGAAGCACCGAAAAACTTTGATAAATAGAAGGGAATGAAGTTTTGTGATAGCAAAATCACAATTATTTGAACTCCTGAGTTATAACTAAAAGTTATGTGGTGATCTACTACCA